TCAGATCAAATTAATTAGATGGCGAGATTAGATATCAGAAGGCTATATTATTAAAAAATAAATCAACGCTTCTGATTCACTGTTTATTTTATTTTTACTAAATTTCACTCAATATAAGGCTCAAGAGTAACTAAAGGTAAAGGATTACTGAATAAGGCGTGATATGAATGTAAGAAAAGACAAAAAGAAGTAAATATTATGAAGATAAAGAGGAAAGATAATGTCTGATCCTTCACTTGAAAAGGTTATAATTGTGGTTTTTACAGATGAACACATGCAGAAATCCAGTCCACAAAGTGACAGGTTTTAATGAAACGTTCTCTTTACATTTGGGAAACACTGAGGAAAGGAGTGTGATTCGATTGTGGACATAGCATGACAAGTTCTATCTGTAAAGGTCTGAAACTAAAGAATGGAGCTCATCTGAACATTTGCTATGAAAATAGCAATAGGCTTGTGACATTGCATCTGTGAGAAAGAGGACGCAGAATAATGAATCAGGCTTCTTCCACAAGAAAGTGTAAAAGATTTTGGCCTCAAAGGCTGAAAAGTGAGGATTGAGCAGGTTCCAGACTAGTTATAGCAGCAATAATCAATTTTTAGTCTAATCTGACTCTTGTAAAGCATGGTATAGATTATCTATGTAACTCTTTCAGCTTCATGCTTTCCTGTCAACTATAAAATTGCCTCTTTGAATCCTGTTATTTTTATTGTCCTTTTTACTCAGTAACGTTTACTTAGTTTCTTTCTTGTCCTGGGTATGATGATAAACTACATTTGACAGCAAGTCCTCTGATTGGGAGATTCTAAGGAGTGTGGAACCACCCCTTAATTGCTGTTGTTCCCAGGTCCACTCTGACCCAGGCAAACTGGGGTCAAAACAGCATTAAAGTATAAAAATACATTTTTATAGTAAATACCAGCAATACATTTTCATAGTAAAAAAAAAAAAAAAAAAAAATTCCAGCAATAGATTTTTGTAAGTTCTTAAAGAAATCAAACTGTATTCCAAAATGTAACTTAAAAAAAAAAAAAAAAAAAAAAAAAAAATCAACATAAAAAACACACATATCACTGCCTCTAGTAATTATGTTCACGTAAATATATGTACAAAAGCTGATTGTCCTCTAACATGTATTCAACTGTGAAAGCAGAATAACATATTTTAATTACTTCAAAGCTCCCAAGAAAATGACATTTTGGTATTAAGTGACCCATAAGGAATTAATATACCACTAAACAATCCATCTGTAACATTTGTTGCCTAAACTCATATATCCTACAACTTCTTAAAGAAATCAAACACATATATCACCGTCTCCAGTATTCACACAAACAAGTATATGCACAAAAGCTGAGTATCATTTACCATGTATTCAATTGTGAAAGCAGAATAACATTATTTTAAAGCTCCCAAAAAATTAAATTTCAGAGTTAAATGACCCATAAGGAGTTGATATGCCATTGAAACAAACATTTTCTTTAACTCTATTGTCCTTCATCTTTAATAATCCCTTGAATCTTAGTGGCTTTATCACCTTGCTTGCAGTGAAATATTTAAAAATAAGAGGTACTTTCTGGAGATGTGAATGAACCAGCCATTTTCCCAGTATCTTTAGCAATGGGTCATTGAAATGAATTCAAATTGATGCTGGAGTGAACTTGAGTCCCAATATACACCTACCATGTTGTGAGTAGCATACATTTAGACACAGAGATTAAAGAAAAGATATTCAAATAAAATATTGATCAAATTACAGGATTTGTACTGACTTTATTTTGATGCCTAAAATTCAAAGATTAAATATTGCCATTCATCTGAGAATTATTTGAACTTCTGTCTTCATTTTTTTATCACAACTGTTTACCTCATGTTCACCAATCTTCCTTAAGTGTGTACTACAAGGAAAGAAGCATAAATTAACTCAACCAGTCTCCTCCTCTTAACTTTGTTCTCAGCAGAAATGACTGTCAGTTTTTGTCTCTATAGCAAAGAAAATGGCGACTTACCCCGCCAAACCAAGTGACAGCGCATTGCGTGTATCCTACTACGGAAAATTACAAAAAAAAAAGGTGGGGGGCATATATCCCACGTGACATGCTGAAGACAGAATATTTAAATTAAAAAACAAGTCCGTTGCTTTAAAATTATTTTGATATGCAAAAATTGAGTGTCCTCTCCCAGCTGTCAACAAATGGAAAAAATGCTTGGCGGATAAAAGCAGTTGGTGTTCTCGAATTGGGGAGAAAATTTGTGTATTTTGGCTACCGCGTTTGTTAGAGAGGGAGTTATTTTTCTGACAGGTTGCGTGCATTGTGAGATAGCAAATCGAGTTTTCAGCATTTCTTTCTGCCTCTGATACTAGAGTCTGAACTTACAGTGATTTATTTTGTGTTGTGGAAGTAATCTGTGACAAATATTTCCTTTGCAATCCCAGATTGCTTAGTCTCATATCCATATTGTTGTAGTCCTGTTGTTTTTCACTTTGCCCAATTTCCTCTTTCATTCTCTTCCTCAAACCTATGCATCAGCAAGAACAATCACAAAAGAAAAATCCCTATCCTTGTCTTTACTTTTCCTTTGTAATCATTACCCTTACTCACAATCATTCCAGCTTCTACCACCAGGTATGCAAACTGTTTCCTCACCTGTTAGTCTTGCCTCTTAGTTTCTGGTAGATTTATTTTGTAAACAGGCTCGTGAATTGCCTCAGGACCAACCGGCAAGAAGTGTTATATATTTGGTGCCATGAGTAGATTTGTTTCAGGGAAAATAATATTACTAGAAACAAGTTAACCAAAAAAAGAAAACATCAAATGTTCAATTAAATTTCCCATATACCTATGTAAGATTTTTTTTTACAATTATTTAAAATTTCTTATTTTCTATACACAAAAAAAAAATGTCAATATTGTAACTTTACTACTAAAAAAAAATTAAAATAAAATAAAGCATGCAAATTAAAACCATGTTGATTTTTTTCATTGTAAAAAAAAAAAAAAAAAAAAAAAAAAAAAAAAAAAAAAAAAAAAAAAAAAAAAGAAAGAAAGAAAAGTTTTCAAATAATTTTACACAATTAAAATAAGGAACTCTACAGTGTATAAATTCAATAATGAAACATACACTATTTACTTTAACATAGCAACAAATGTAAAGCTTTAATAAAATAAATTTTCCTTTAGAAAATAAAGTTTATTCTAAGGTAAAAATTGAAGCTGGGTTTCTTTTCTAATGTAATATAAAAAATATTCTGTCTGTAGACTTTATAATCATTGAAGTAAAAACATATTTTTAATCTATTTACTGTTTGTTCTTTATTTCTGTAAAGAAAGAAGATAGAAATGGAACTGTTTTGCTTTTCTTTGTCTAATATGAAAAATGATTTTGTCAATTTCAATTGTCAGTATTGTAACTTTACAGAATAAAACGTTTTTATAAAAATATTGTTTGCTTGTTTTTTCTTTATTTTTATAAATTAATATTGAATAAAGTTCTAAGATTAAATTCGAACCGTTTTTTTTTTAAATTGTAACTTAAAAAGTATTCTATACTTTTAAAAAACCCTATAATCATTCATTTTCAGCAGCTTCGCTTATACTACATGCTGTGACATCACGTTTAATCGAATAGACCTATCTAGGTGGCGCTGGCTTAAGTTAATCTAAGAGAGATTACTCTGAATTTTCTACAACGCATTTTCTACGAGTTACCGCCCTTTGTGTGTATGTGTGTGTAGGTAACTTCTGTAAAGATTGGGTCTAATTAGATATTTTTAGAAATGACTTTTTAGTAGTATTAAACATTTTCAATTTTCTCAACTTTAGGAATTGAATTACAAAAGTAATTTCATCTTTAGCTAATTATACCAGTCCCTCATCTTTAAAAACATGGTGGATTTTCCTCAATGAAATTTGTTTGTAACCGAAATATACACACAAAGAAAACACCAACAAGTTTCATTTTCCTCAATACCAAGTTATTTTATTAAAAAGAAAAAGAAAAAAAAAAGTAAAAAGAAAAAAATAAGGGAAAAAATTAATTTAAAAAAAATTAACTTTTACAATTTATTTTCACCATTATTGTCAATGGTGAAACTAGATTCAATTTATTTCTTTTTTTAATTTTAATTTTTTTTTTTTTTTTATTTGTTTTTTTCTTTGACCTTCTTCACACCATTCTGTGATTTTTTCAACCAAATTTTAATGAGCATTTCCTTAGCACTAGTCAGTCAATGTACTGACCTATGCAGGAAAGGAAAAAAAAAAAAAAAAGTGCCATCATCTATCATTATCACATACGATTTGATATTGCAGACATATGTCCAAGTGGATAGAATGTCGAGTCCTAAGGAAAAGTTAAGACATTTACATAAAAGACAGGAGGAGGAGGAAGAAAAGGAAAAGTGAAGGTATCGAATGTAGGGTGGGGTAGAGGAACAAGAAATCAAATGGGAGAATTGTAATTTGGACAGAACAGACATGGAACCTATAGCATTAAATCTTACATTAAATTGACAGATAAAAGTTGTCTTGGAAGAATCATTCTTTCAAAATAAAAATAGTTTGTTTTAGAGACTTATAGCCATTTCAAATAGTTAAATATCTTGAGATATGGGATAGAAACAACTATTTTTTTTGTCTTTGGTTACATACATACATGTATATATATATATATATATATATATATATTTTAAATTAACTATTGTTGTATAACTGCAGTAGTGATATAGCAGCAGCAGCAATAAAATTGTGTGTGTGTGTGTGTGTGTGTATGCCTTCATATCTGACTAATGTTATAACAGTAAGTGAATTGTCTGCAGTATAGATGGAATGGTAAAAAGTTAGAGTTATTGTTGGTGATAAATTTTGTTGCAGCTACTGCACAACTTACAGATCTGATTGTAGTTGGGTAGAAATAGAGCTTAGTCAGGTAGAATAGACAGGTTGGAGATGTATTGGTTCAGAGAAAGGATAGGTTCAAGAGAACCTTACAGAGGAACTTTCTCTTCAGGCAAGGGAGGATTCTCTTCTGACCTTGGAGTGGTCGGAGCACTGGCTGCCTGGAAAGCTTCATCAATGCTGTTGTCAGATTTGCTGCCTTTAACTCGAGCCTGGAAATTGAAAGGAGAAAAAAAAAGATTTCATTTATCATGGCAATTAATTGGATATTTGACTTTCATGAAAAATTGAACAAGACAAATTTAGATATTTACTGTCAAACACAGGATGAAGTAACAGGGTTGAGATGATCTTGTTGCAATCATCTTTTAAATGGGGAGAGTTTGCCTACCTTAAAATCAGCATTCAGAACAAGCCTTTATCTGGGCTCAAACACCAACTGATGGTGCTGATCAGCTAATAACAAGAGAAATATAATTAAACAAACAAAAAGAAAAATCAATTTTTAAATGTAACCCCATTTTTATGAGACATTTATATGCTTTATTATGGTAAATTGTAAGGTGACACATCTTCGAGGTACTAATAAAAGGAAATTCTTTTTACAAGAGAAAAAAATAACTTTCTACAATACTGAAATATCAGAAAGGATATCACAAATTCAATATTCGTTTAAAACTTCAAAAGGAAAAAAATTAAATGAAAAAATTAGAAAGCATTTGTCCCCCCCAAATCACTTAAGATCTGAAGTCATGCAAATATTCACAGAATATATATTGAAACATGACAACCAAACTGAAGTAAAGAAAAACCAAAGGTGTAAGGTAAAGGAAAGCTTCAGGATTTTACAAACAATTTTTACAGCAGTTTTCAAAACAAATCTGTAAAGTTAGTGATGGACAAGACAAAAAAGTTAAAGAATTAGTGGCAGGGATAGAGGATTTATTTGAAGAGATTAAGAAAAGAAAGGATGAAACTAAAAAGTATCAAGGAAAGAGAGAAAGCTAGGAAGAAAATCAAAGGATAGGGATGGAGAGAGAGAGAGAGGGAAAGTGATGATGAAAATCTTAAGAGCAAGTTACAAAATAATTGCATCTGAATGTAAAATGTTTAACATCTGATTACAAAAGAAAAAATATATTAATGTTCTTGATAATTATTCAGTTAAATTCATTATTCTCATTTTCTAAAGTGTGTGTGTGTATATATATATATATATAAATATATTCTTTGCATATAATCAATTTAAGAAAATTCTTAAAATTGAGATGCAAAACATTCTATAATAGTGAAAAATATATTTATACAACTTTAAATAAATATGAAAATATATATAAGAAAAATGATGAACAGAAGAAATAACCATGATATCCAACAATACACACAATGAAAGAGAAAAAAAACCTTACATCAATGAAAAGTGCATAAATTATTTTTTTAATTCCATATAAAAGTGATGAAAAATGAGAAAATAAACAGTCAGTATCTCCTGACGAGTATACAGAGTGATTTTTGGAGGGTTTGTCTACAAAACTAGAATCGTGATGCTGAAAATAACATCAATCAGCTAAGTGATATTTTATATTTGTATTAATCATTTATATATAACATCATAAGTGATAAGTATATAAAATTTATGCATAAGAAATTAATTCATGGATTAGAATTATCAAATATTTTGAGGCCTTCTAACAAGGTATCGATGAAAAAAAACGTTTGTTTACAGTAGGTCACAGCTTTGGGTCATGGTCAAAAATGTTCAATAATTTTGCCTTGCTTGTAGATGGATTTGGCTAATTCAGAAAGAATTTGTAATAATCGGTTGAAATAGGACTTTAAGAAAGACACTGAAAACAGGTGAGAGAATATTTAACATTTTTCTATAAAAGAAATGATTAAATACTTTGAAGTACAAAGCTACAATCAAATTGTGGTACCCAAGTGGAAGTATACAGGTGAAAATGCCCTGAGCATTTCAGAAAAGTTCTTGTATTAAGACTTGGTACTTGCTCAAATGCCAACTGTCATTCCGGTTACACTGCATCACTTCTGGTTAACATCCTTTTTAGTTACAATGATCTGACTGCCATTTCTTCCAAACAGAAAGAAGAGATTTTTTTATCTTTTTTTACTTTTATTCATTATGCAACAGACAATGAAAATTTTGTTTTATTCTTTAATTATATTTAATTTAAAGAAGAAAGCCTTTCTTTAAATAAGAAGGCTATTCTTAAGTTGTTGAACAGTACGAATTATTTCCAATAAAAGAAGCAACTTGAACAAACAGAAACTAAAGACTTGGCATGTAATTGGTTATTATTATTATTATTATTGAGAGAGAGGAGAGAAGAGAGAGGAGAGAGAGAGAGAGAGATCAATATAATTAATTAAAGATTCGAAATGGATTAAGTGGATGAAGATTCTAAAGAATGGAGAAAGAAACAAGTTAACTTGTAAACATAGTGACCAGAGAAATGCAAATATCTGCATCCAAACTGTAAAAAGTATATATATATATATATATATATATATATTTTTTATATATATATATATAAAAAGAAAAAAAAAAAAAAAGAGCGCTGCCTTACTGCCAGGAATAAATTAACTAATTAATGGAGCATCTCTTTGAATATGTAATAAATCTATTTTGCTCTTCCCATTTGCAGTACTTCAAGCAAATGTAAATTAGATTAAAACCGTTTGTTTTCTTTGGTAACAACACTACATAAATATTCAACATTCTTTGGATGTGCAAATATATTGTCCAATATAAATCTGAACTAAATATACAAGGAAGATGGATAAGTTATTGCAGACTCGTTTTTTCAATCATTTAATATTCTTGAGTGAGTAACCAAGAGAGGAACGCCTGAAGTTCAAAAGTACAATTCTTTGCAGGAGAGATAACAATCTAAAGCAGCAAAAGATGTATGAGTGCATGAACAAGGTTGACCATATTAAAGACTTATGACTCTTCTCAAAATTAATAACCAACAACATTACAGAAACAGTAGTATTTGATAATACATTTAACGTTGTCATTTCTTTGAAATGAGGGAAAATTAACTTTTCAAACCTGCACAATAAGAGCCACAATATTAGCAAATTAGATAAAATCATTAACCACAGGATGAGAGGAATTTTCATCATTGCAGTTCTATGGCTCAATTGCATATGACAGAAATTTCTGCTGCAGTTAAACTTATTTGGCAGTTGAAATGTAAAAATATTTGCTATTACAGCATTATTTTTTGACATCATAAAAAATAGGCACAAAAGAAAAACAAAATTAATAGAAAAATAATCTTATGTAACAAGATTTTTTTTTCAGAACAGTGTAAGTAAATAAGATACCTCATATCCTCTCAATTAAATTTATATGAAAAGCAGATACAAAACATTAATCCAGCATTATTATAAGATAAATTTTCTTTTTAGATGTAAATTCGAAAATTTGTCCGCATGATATGGCAAAAACTAAATCTTAAAAAGTAATGGATTCCAAATCAACAACAGGGCTATTTTGGTAACAATGACTGCAAAAGATAAGCCATGTTTGTTTGATATGATCCCTACTTTGATTCTGGTTACTTTATTACTGTTTTTTTTTACAAGATTTGACTGATGAAGAAAATCATGAGAACTAGTTTTAATCTAATTAAAGTTGAATAAATAATTGAATAGAAATACATTATGAAGGCAGAATACAATTCAAGAAAGTAAATTTCAGCTTCTTCAAGATGAAGTCTCTCTCTCTCTCAAGTCAATAGAATTTAGTGACCAAGAAAAAAGTTTTTTTTTTAGTTAAAGAATGTTTTTAGAAACAACAACAGAAGGCAAAAGTTAAAACATCTTAGCTGAAAAGAAACTCCATTTTCAATAAATAATGTATTGGTTAAAAATATTTAGGGGGTAGAAATTCAGATTTAGTTGAAAATAAGTGACAGCTAAAGAAGCTTAATTATTAATAGAAATATCTTTTCATCAACAACTAATGATTCTTTAATATCAGGCTATAATCTAGCAAGATTCGATCTGTTTGTACAAGTGAAAGGATTTTAAAATAATTCATGTAAACATGAATTATGTACTAACCTAAAAACATAAGAGTATTAAATCCTCTATTTTGTATATTCAGCTGCATGATTAGAACAGAGGTTTAAACATGTTCACAAGAGGCTGGAGTAAATTTATTAGTTGCTGCTAAGTAGCAAAATTATAAATGTCTATTCATTTAAGAACTGGAACAAATAAAAATATCAGTTACAATGGAGGTGCTAAAAAGTTATTCGCCCTTCTTGGTCAAGCCGAGAACTTTTCAACACACTTTCTTTGCACTAGAATTTTCTTCCCGTTAATAACTTGATTGCAACTATTCAAGATCAGTACCATCAAGTAGATTGACAATTCATTCTAATTTAGAGAAATACCCATTTGCCCCGTACTGTGTGGTTTCTGATGTGCCCAAGGAAAGATTTTGCTCATACAGAGTCAGGTTAATAACAGGTAAGGTTGGGTGGTGGAGCTGTTGAAAGCTGACTAGAAGCTAAAAATCCAAGTTCACTTGTATTGAGGGGAGCACTTTCTGCACAGATGTACTAACCAGCTTCAGTTACTACTCACTTCAGTGGGAGAGTTCCCAGTTCCAAGAAAATATCCAGTAGCACCCTGAGGAAAATGGAACAAAACATTAAGACGACTTTGGGGAGAACAAATAGAGTGACTTTAAAATGAGGGGTTTCAAATAAATCACCAATTTAATCATGAGTAAAAGCTGTTAATCCAAAATGAATTGCTCAAATCAAAGAAAGTTTGTACCAATCATTTAAGACAGTTTTATTCTCCTTATTCCTTTACCTTGAGAGTTACTTGATTTTTACATGCATATCACAAGGAAGAACAGAAAATATGTACAATACATTAATTTACACAATATAGTGTATATATATATATATATATATATATATATATATATCTCATGCATAAAGAAATAGACACATACACCTATGTGCTACACAGTTAGATTATAGTCTCAGTCTGGAATTAAAAATGTCTGAAAAGTAAGGATCTCAATTTGTTCAAATATTACACATAAAATTATTTACAACTTAAAGTGTATATGTGTGTGCTGAGTGGAGGAGGGGGAGGGTCAAGTAATTTTTTTAAAAAACAAAATGACAATTCTGTGATTTTTAAACCAATACTAAAAAGA